TAAACTTTGAATAATTAATGTGATTATTTAGAATGTGAAAATACTAGACAAGGATCGTTTTCTACAGCCCAAATCGTGTCCTGTAGTTTCTTATGTTCCACAAAAGGATAACTAAAACAGTAATACTTTTGGAGGCTGAATGATCTTGAGGCAATATTTCAAGTATGAGTTGTTTTCACTCTATTTCATTTAAGATGATGAAGGAGTGGTAGTTGAATTTTCCCACCACGATATGAGTAAAGCTAATTGAACTTCACATAGACTTGCTTTGCAAAAAGATGTTCTCACCCAGAGTGGACTGCAGTTTCGACCTCATATAAGTCTTATCAACACCTACTCACTCACGAAAAAAATATTTCTAGTCGCTGTATCTCTTCTGAGTGTATCCGCCAGCATAGGCGCCCAAGCTGCTAGCAAGTTAAATTTATGGCACTCTTCGGGTTCAGCTGTTGCCTGGGTGCTCGCTTCTTTGGTGACGTCGGCCGACGGGTTAATGTGGACGTTGATCCCCATATTGCCCGGTTTGGACAGGACTTTTAATCGCACACCGCGATTAGGCTGTCAGTAGATCTTTAGGCAGATACTGTTCAAATGTCCTGTTTTTTTTGAGTAACCTAATTTTCATTTTCATGTTGTATTTAACAAGAGAACTAATTGTCATTCTTAATGTTTACCGCTGTTTCGTTGACCCTTTCCATGGGTGCCTCTGCCTCCATTCAGCTACAATTCTACGCCTTCAACTCACAGCTCTACTGCAACTTTTCGGCAGCTGTCTCGCAACCAAACGGACTGGCGGCAGTTTCCGTGCTGTTAAAGGTGAGGAAGAGCCCTGGCATATTGTCCCTAAGCAGCACTTGCTTAATGGTCCGCCTTTTTTAAGCTAATCTGTATCTTTAAAGTCGGTTGGGTTGTATTTCTGGGAAAATGTAAAGTTCCAGATGTGAAGAAAAGAATCTTTGATCGAAGTTATGATGACCAGGATGGTGAGGCCTTTTTGTATGGTCGCGGTCTCCCTTCATTGTATAAAAGTTGTCTGATCTTTGGCTAGTTGTAGTGTGGTGCTAAAACTGGCAATGCTCACTGAAGATGCCGGCGAAACGTCTGGGAATGCACCACGTCCACAGACCGACTTTGGAAATGATTATGCATACAATGGACTCCTCTAAGTCTTCCTACCAATTTGACCAAGTTGCGAAAACTAGGTCAAATAACTTCTAAAAAAATCCTTGATTTATTAAGTCTTACTCGACTATTCATTTTGAAGGAAAAGTTGATTGGAAGGAAGTCAAGAAATCGAAGGATTTCGCGAAGAGGTCCTCGGCTCTGCATTCTGAGAACTCGATGATACTGTGCTGAGCTTTTGTCTGCCCAGTTATGACAGAGATCGTCAACACGAAAGCGCATATTTTATGTAAAACGGTATCATTACGCTAAATCAAGAAGAAAATTGTCTCATTAGATTTGGTTGCCCTGCCTGCTCACAGATCAGGGTGTACCAGAGTTTTTGGCTTATGTGGCAATGTCCGTGTGAGGTGGGCAGGCCAGTCAGCCCATGCACAAGAGATCGTCCAAGTGCACAACCAGTTGAAGCCGGCTTCTGACGCAAAGCTCTGAACTTTCCGAAAGCATGGTTAGTGCAGAACACGAAATATAAT